AGAGCTGGTGCAGGAAGAAGGCCACAGAAAGAAGGCCGTTGTTCTTCCTGCACCAGCTCTCCAGGTGTTCCACCTCCTGCCTGAAGCTGGACTCATTGTTGTTCATCAGCATCAATGGAAAGAAGACGAGGGAGATGGTCATAGATTTCAGGTGAAACACACACACATGCGAATATGGGATGATCTGTGATGGAAGTGGTCTCCAGCTGCAGGTATTTGGGTGTGCACCTGGGTGGTACAGTGGAGAGCATCCTGTGCTCCATCATCAACGTGTGCCATGGAGGCTGCACAGCTGCAGAAAGAAAAGCCTTGCAGAGAGTGGTGAAGGCTGCACAGAAGTCTGTTGGAGTCAGTCTCCCCACCATTACAGACATCTACACCTCCAGATGCAGGAAGAGGGCCACCTGCATCATGAAGGATCCCACTCACCCATCACACACACGTTTTGCTCTGTTCCCCTCAGGCAGAAGGTTGCAGAGCATTAAGTGCAGAACCACTAGACTGAGGAACAGCTTCTATCCTGAAGCTGTTGGACTCATAAATTCCTAATCAGAATTATCACTGTGGGGGAAAAAAAAAATCAATTTAATGCCACTTTGATTGCTGATATGTGCTGCTGATTGTCCATGATGCTCATTATTTCATGCTGCTGTATTCATTCGTACTCATCTGCTTGCACAGACTCATGTTTGTGCTGCTGTTCGGTGTATTGTTTTGCACTATTGGTGTTTAATGTGTTTCTTAGTTTAGTGTATTTCTTGGTTTATATCTTAGAGCTTATGACCGTTTCCTTTTACAATTTATATTTTTGCTGTTGTTGAATGTCACTGGGACCCTGTGTACACAATTTTGTTCCACCTCATGTACCACATGTGATGCAAATGACAATAAATAACCTTGAACCTTTATATCACTTCTGAACCAAACTGCATTTGTAAATAAAAGTATCCAGTTCATATAATACATGGAGTTTCTGTGTAAGCACACTAAGCCCAGTGTGAAAACTATTTCATAACAAAAGGCTTTTGTGCTATCATAAGACTAAACATAGTCTGAAAATAAAGAATAAGGCTTCTTGGAGCAGGAACATGATACCATTTTTCAACGTAAAATTGTTAATATTTATCATGCATTAATACAAAAGCAGGATTTTCTTGCAGTTATTAGCTGAGCTAAAACTTACTTAAAACTTTGTATTTATCCAACTTATCGGTTGGTTATTTATATATATAAATGTTTCTGTTCAGTGCCCTGAGATGACTTCTGTTGTGACTTGGCGCTGTATAAATAAACTGAATTGAATTGAAAAGAAATTAGTATAAATGTCTGTTATGCATGCTTTAAAAAATTTACGTTAATGACAAATGGATGAATATTTTTTCAGTTGTACATGTTTAAACTAAAAAAAGTCTTTAATACAAAGGTAATAAACATTTTGTACAGTACTCACAAATGAGAAAAAACTTATTGTAGTTACTGTATGACTGTTACTGGCAGTAACAGCTGAATTTGTAAATCTTTTTTTAACAGTATTGCTATCATAATCGTGTTTTCCCATTTATTTATTTATTTGTTTGATTTATTTTAATTAATAAATATATACAAGAATAAGCTGAATGAAACTGCAAAGCGAGTATGAAAGGCTGGGAAGATTTCAGGCGAAAAACTACAATGTTGTCGCATCCTTGTGACGACATCAGTGCTGGACTCGGAGATCACGGTTGCTGCTTCTCGGTTGTAGATGTCTCTCAAAACAAGCGCGTCATGCTCAGCGGTATGTTGTTGACAGTTTATACATTACCGCAAAGCCCTCGGTTGTCTAACGGAAAGCCATTTGTTGTTTTGGTGACGTCTCTTTTCCGGTTTTCACGGCTAAGTCTCTTTTATTTGAGAACAAGTTTGTGGTAAAGTTAGCGCCAACTCTGCTGCCGAGTAGCTGTTGTAATTAAATGAGCTGTCAGGTTCTCCCACACACGACTTTAGAAATTAAATAATGCAGGTGTCACGTCGCTAACACCTCAAAACATTTTCTCTGTTCACATTGTAACCAAAAACAACGGTGTTAACAGAATGTGCTTTCTAAAATGCTTCTGATGCCTTAAATAAATTTGCACCATGTAATCAGTGGATTAAGGGCCAAACCAACATTTTGGATTGACTCAATTACCATTCTCCCCCCCACCCCCCAACTATTTAATTTTGCAGCATAGTTTATTATTACTATTATTATGCATAAATATAAAACTTACCAAACCTAAATTAAATAAATCAAGACTTCTCCAAGGCTTGAGCAATGTAAAAACAAATATTTTGACACCAAGATCTCTGATATGAGAGGGGCATTTGGCAATGATGTGTTTTAATAAAATGGATTCATAAAATAGTTTTGCTGTTCATAAAGGTGAGTGTAATTTGAAGGCAGATTACCTCATAGACAGAAGTTTGTGCAGATAGTACTGTAGTTTTGTCTGAAGTACACACAACCTCAATTACAGTAACACTAAAATAAATCAAATTGATTTGCCCCTCCTTGTTTAACTGTCCTGTGCTCTAGCTTGATTTCATCATTGTGACATGGAGCCAGATGGGGACCTAAATCCAGACAAAGACGACCTTCCGCTCCGAGCTAATACTAACCACATTCTTGTCAGACATTATGTGCTGGACCTGACAGTTCATTTTGACAAGAAGGTCATTGGTGGAAGTATTGTTTTGTTCCTGGAGCCTTGCTCTGCAGGGGGCACAAAGGCTGATGATGACATTGAGCCTGGAGCTGGTGATATTGGGACTAAATTTCAGGACTTTGGTGCAATGGGGGCAGGTACAACAGAGCACAGAAACCCTGAAACGGGGAAGGAGAAGCTGTTTGACAAAGCTGAATTACAGCCCGAGTGTGGATCCCAGACTGAAAGTGACAACAGTAACGTTCAAGCTTCACAACTGTGGCAAAACACAGGTGATTTCACCTTAGTGCTGGACTGCTGTGACCTCGATGTGTCAAAGGTGGAAGAGGTGGACATCATTTCTGTGTTGGACCACCTTCCAAACGTTGCATCTGAAAGTTCAGCATCAGTGAGTCCACAGGAAGCCTTCATTCAGAAGCTTTTATCTACACATTCTGAACAGTGGAGACAGAAGCATCGGTTATTTTCGCTGTGCAGCCATGCTCCTGGTGCTCCAGATGGTGGCTCACTGCAGTTTAGTAAAGATCGCTGGAGTCTGCAGGTGAGGAAGATGGGGGTAAAGACACCTCAGGAGTTCCCCTGTGTTATCAGAATCTTCTACAGGACAAGACCCTCAGGAGGCTCGGTGAGATGGACCAAGGATCAAGACAGGAGGTTTGTCTCAGGATGTGTTCAGATCACAGTGGAATATTTCTTAAACATCTTAGGAAATATTATTTATTAATTTATTCACAAAAAAAAAAAAAATCCCCCTCCAAGCTTTTTTCCTCTGTTTTGAGTGAGGGGACACGTTGTGTGTTTGCTGTAACCTTTGAGCAATGAAAGGAGGGTTGTTTATAGTTTACCGTTGTTTACTCTTCCAGGGTGTGTGTTTACACTGCCGGTTCTCCCATCAACAACCGAGCCCTCTTCCCCTGCCAGGAGCCGCCTGTTGCCATGTCAACATGGCAGGCAACAGTACGGGCCCCCAGTGAGTGTGTGGTTTTGATGAGCGGGGAGGATCAGGCTGTTCCTGCTGAGGACAGGGACACACGTAAGCATTGACACCCAGGAGAAGTCAAATTGTTTTTATGTCTATAGCACTAAAGTCAGAAATGTGCCTCTTTTGTCTCGTGCAACAAATACCACACTTGTACCCAGATGCTTCTGAACCATATGGTATAATGATGCTAAATGACGATTTTTTTTTTTCCAAAACTGAAAGTACATTTTATGGAGAATGAAATGGAAACTATTTTATAGATCCGTCTACTATCATATTTTTCGCTGTACAAGTCGCACCCTTTTGCATAAATTTACAAGTCCTGCGACTTATACACTGAAGCGACTAATATACGTTTTTTTCCCCCATATTTATGACAATTTTTTGCTGAGATTTGCTGACGATTTCATTCATTCTGACATGGAAAATATTGACCACTACCATTTTCAGCCACTAGAGGGCCCTAGAGTAATATGACAAGCCAAATGTCTCATTGATAGGTAAACGTGGCTATTAATGAGACTCTTGGCTTGCCTTAGCCTGCCACCGTCTTCTCGCTAAGGAACTTCTGGAGCAAACTTCAAATCAACTACATTTCTCTGCGTCGCCCAGGCGAAATGCAGTTGAGTTGACCGTTAAAGTGCATTTATTAAGGAAAAGTTCAACTGAGATTCACCTTTGCTATAATTTCGAGCAAACAAATAATTAGTTTTAAGTGTTAATCTTGTTAAATGCGACGCATAATAGATGCGACTTATACGGCGAAGTGACTTATTTATGTTTTTTCCACTTAGACATATTTGAACGGATGCGACTTATACGGCGGTGTGACGTGCACAGCAGCAAGTACGGTACTTGTTTTTCCCCCAAAAAAGAAAGTGGATTTAGGAAAATATGAGCCACTGATGTCTTTGGCCTGGTTTCTAACTTCTGCCATTATTTTTGCTATTCATACAGGCATACTGTAGCCTTCTATTGCTCTCTTGCCAGTCCGTTGTGTGAGTTGAATTACTGTAGAAAAGTTAGTATTGTCCTCTTGTCTGGGTTCAAAAACATTAAAAACCAGCTAAAATACTGTAGTGTACTGCCATGTGGATTAAATCATCACAGCAGAAAACTTATAGAAGTTTTACTTCAATAATTAATAACATGTAGCATTACATTAACTTTGATTGACATACAAGAATTTATTTGTTTTTGCAACCTTTTTTTGCAATGTCTTTGCCCTCTAAAATACTTTCAATGGTAAGGAAACTGATAGGTATTTCTGTACCTAAAATATAAAGAACCACACAGGACAACAAAATTAGTTTTCAACCAGGCTTTTTGCAAAAAGGGGAGAAACACAGCAACAACCTCTAGAGCTGAGCGCTGTGAACTCCGAAGGATTTCTGCATCTGGCCGTCTTTTGTTGTCACACAGAAAGAAGTGAAAACTGGACATCTTGATTATGCAGGCAGTTTAGATTACACAACAAGGGCAAGGCGATCTTAGAACATTTTGATTAAACGCTTACAGTAATGAGTTTCTGATACCATTTGTATCAGTTAAATTCTGCTTCACAGTTAAGAGAAACAATGACAGTGTGAGATTGATGATGTGAGATTGATCAAATATGTGTTTATGTATAAACCCTGACATTTCGGATTTTACAAAAGAAAAACAATTCTCAGAAACTGCTACGTGGGTGAACTTTTATCAGTTCCCGTCAGTTTGGTTTAACTTTGCAAGTTTACAGCTTTACGGTCAAACAGACATTATTAGACAAAGTTTGATAACGTTTAAGATACGAAAACCCAATCAGAAACCATCAAAGTCAAACAAACAAACAAAAAAAAAAACACCCAAGTTTAAAATGTTCTTGTTCCTTATTTTCATTCTAAATCAGTTTCTTAAACTTTGACATTTTAATTCTTCTTTTTATTTCACCTGCAGATTCCTTAATCTGGAATTATTATGTCACAATGCCCATGCCTGCATCCACCCTTGCTTTGGCAGTGGGTTACTGGTGCCAGGTCACAGCAGAAACCTTTCCAGTGCAAGAAAAAGAGGTTGAAGTTGGGGCAGACTGTGGCAAACCTATTGCTGGGTTTGTTGAACTGACTGAGTCCGGACTGGGAGGCTCCTCTAGTGAAGTCCTAAAGGGCACACAGCTTCAGACTGGCAGGTATTTAAATGTTTTTCCTCTGTCCTTTTTCTTCTTGTAAGACCTTCTCCCCTCCAGACTGCCATTAACCTGAGTCTGGCCCTTCAATATTCCATGGTTAAACTTTCCCTTTACCAGACCCAAAAACAGTGCAGTTGAAGTTAAGGTGATGGATAGGGTTCAGTACATAATTAGCTTTTTTATTATGCTGTCTGCTGGCCATTGAAGACAAAAACCCTAAATTGAACATAATTTTTACAAGTGTACAGGAAATAAAGTGCAGGTTGTTGCATTTGAGAGGCCAAGTTTCCTTTGGGCCGGGCAGGGTTGGGCTCCATTAGCCAGCAGGTTGGCAGATCTGCCAGTGGTTTCCAGTAATCCCCCTCCTCCACTCAAAATTTTCCTTCAGCAACAGACAGAGCCCCACAAATCTCAGACTACTGTACAAGGAAGGCTTTTATTTTTAGTGAATGACTGGAGGGAAACTTGGCTGTCGCACTACACCTTTGGAAAACTTGTGATGATGATGATGATGAAGTTAGTGCTGGATATTGAATTATAGCGACGCCGACGCTTCAGTATTTTGGAGTGTTTGTAGTTTGATTTTTTTTTCTTACTATATATTTTACAAATTTCTATTGCCATCTATTTCATGCTTGGGAAAGAGATTATTTGATTAAACCTTTATTGCTTGTTTTTATCTACTGCAGAGGAGACCAGACCACCAGGATTGACTCTGCATTGTGTCACTCATCTCTTGAGAATGAGAACCTCACTGCAGCTGATTATTTAAGCATGGCAGATGACGGCATTTCTTGTTCCCATGGCGACTACCCTTGCCGGTTTGCTGAACGGTCGGCTTGGTCCCAGCGGGTGATTCCACACCGTGTATTTAGCCCGGTCTGCCTGCTCCAGAAGGCCCAGGTGGGGTTCTGTCAGTGAGCCACTGAGACTTCAGCTAATTAGATTTTATGAGATCAGAAGAGACAGTTAGCGTTGGTTAATGTTGGTGTCAAAATGCCAGAGGTTTTCAGCTGCTGTATCCCAGCAGAATGGTGGGTCTTTTTCCACAGGGGACACTTAGAACATTCCTTTTACTTTAGGTGTGTAAACTGGAATAACATTTTATCAAAGACTTGTGTTTGCTCAGTCTCTCCTGAGCTGGCTGAAGAACAGTTTCTTCAGGAGCTAACAGCCATAAATGTAAATGGAAGATGAAAGCAGACTACTGCATACTTTGTTCATTAATAAGGATTTATATAAAACCTGAAATGGAGTTTTTATTTAGTTGTTTTAAAAACTTGTTGTTGTTGTTGTTGCAGGCTGGTGTCCTCAAGCTGTTGCCCCAGTGTCTGGCTGCAGCCCATGACGTCCTCGGGGTTCACCCCTTTCCCCGTCTTGATGTTCTCATCGTCTCAGCAGAGTTCTCCAGTCTTGGCATGGCCAGGTATTTGACATTTCTGTCTTTAATATGAACAAATAAAGCGGCAGAAAAGAGATACAAGAAGCGAGCACGGTCACTTTTCTATTATAAGCTTTAAAGTTTAAGAGACGTTATGAATGTGATAGTCTATTAACGGATATCTGAGTTTGCCGAACATGAACGCGAAGCACACAGTTTTTAGCATGAGAAGGTTTTGCGCGCACTCTTGAGTTGTATTAAGCAATCATTTGCATGTGTGGTACTTGTCATTCAGAGAGAACAAAACAGCCTGAGCATGTTGGCAGAATATGAATTTGAAAACCACACAGCTAAGCCTACAGTTGATAAATAATCATTTCTTCCTTCATTAAATGTACAAGGACCAATGATGAGTAAGTGCCATTCTATTGAAGATTTTAGATTCTAGATATTTATACTTTTTGTATTTCATGCAAAGGAACGGCAGAAACTATTTGCTATCCAGCCAACACCGTCATATTGGCGTTTCAGACAGTTGCTTTTGTCCTCACTCTGCAGATCTAGAATAACATTAGACCTAATTTTGTGATGTATTTGTAGCCACATGATGAATGAACAGCCAAGCTCAATATTCACTTTGTGTTTTGTCCTTCATCAATTCCTGAGGGGAATATCTGTTCAATGCTTCAGAATGTTTACCAGCTATTAACAAAATTGTTTGCTAAATGGCAGATTGTTTACAGGGGCTTTAATAGTGTTTTATATTTGTTTTGGTTGTGAAAATACTGCAGTTTTTTTGTGTGTCTGTAAACAACTCTGTCGAGTGCAGAGAGTGAACAAAAACAGCTACTTTGCGTTTTGAGTTTATTTATTTGAAAGTTACTGAAATGTTTCTCGTAAATGATTTGCAATAATGGCAAATATCTGGGGATTCAGTGCACTAAGTGACACCTTTAACAGTCCACATTGCCATAGTTTTTGCCACTGAAATAGTTGATTTTATAAGTTCAATGTTTTGGATATTTATTTGTCTTTACCTTTGCTGTTCTTCAAAAAAGATGGTTACAACCGTCTTTTTGAAGTTATTGGACATTAAGTTCTTTAACAAACGCACAACCAATCACTTGTTTTTCCAGCTTTCTCCATTGTTTCTTCATTGTTATTTTTAACCTAATAAATAAATAAATAAATTCATTTGAGTTTATGATTAATGACATATGTATATTTTATATTTCAAAGCCCTCACATTATTTAGTTATTTTTAGAGATTCTCATAATTGAATTTATTTTTAAATAAACATTTCTAAAAAATCTTTTTCTAAATATTTCTCTGTTCCTTGTCATTGTAAAACATGCCTAAATCCATGTTAGCATAAAATATTAGCTTTCATTGTGCACAGTTTTTAATGTCTTGTTCCTGTTTTCTCTCATCGAATAACCCTTAACCTCCTGAGACCCGAGCTCTGGTTTGCGATGCATTTTTCGTATCTCCCAGATATTTGTGATTAGATGGACCTGATTTGTGTATAAATAAAGCTTCCTCTTCGAACAGGAAGTTGTATTTTGTTACATGGTTATGACATACTTTTGTAAAAAAAAAAAAGAAATCCTCAGATGGGGACATTGGGCTTATTTTACAGCTTAACACAACAACATTAACATGACTTAACAAAGTGTAAAACATTATTGAACAGAGTGAAGTTTAAGGTACAGCAAAGCCAAAATATGTGGATGCAAGGTCTCAGGAGTTTAAATTTTTTATTTTTTTCAATTTCTATGTTGCCATTTTTTATCTTCATTTACTACCAAAAACATCTGACTTTGGCATCTTTTTCCAGACTTCTCAACTAATAATCTTCCCACTTTTTGGTACTTTAATCGTATTATTGATATTCACCACAGTTGTTCATGTTTTACTGTTTTCTTGTACCTTTATGAATACCCAAACCATAAAACTTTGTGATTAGAGAGGTAGGCACAACTTCAGTAAATAAGCAGTCTAACATTACACCTGAGTAATATATATTCTTCCAGTGGATTTCTAGTATTTTTTGTTTTGTTTTATTTATTTATGTTTTACTTTACGTTGATAATCATGGATATTTTTTACAGGTTCAGATGCTGATTAACAAGCAAAATGCCTTAAAGCAGGGGCGTCCAAACATTTTCATAGGTGGACCAGAACTGTCTAAATGAAAGGTCTCGTGGGCCAGAAATATCAGAATTTAGGACCCCCCCCCCTTTTTTTGTTCTCCTAATTTTTAACAACTTGCAATATATTTTGGAGAAAGGTTAAAAGTTTAGTTTAAATTCTTATAGATCCAGAACATTATGAGCCTTCTAAACAATGACCATTTTTTTTCCTTAAAAAAAAAAAAAAAAATCAATGTATTAGATTTTGGGGGTCTATTATTTGTTTTCTTGTGCTTTGAAAGTTAATTTTCATTTATTTTCATAGGCAAAAGCCTGAAATGAGCAACTGTTCTTTACCAAAGGGGGTGGAACTTCAATCCCCCATTTGGACCATGGACTGCCTAAATGGGTCATCAAAAGTTCTGAAAAACAGCTGTCAGTCACTAAAACAGATTCACAGAAGATTTGAAGGGACACTGATAAAGTTGATCAACTTGTATGTCGATGATACCGCTTTATATTATTTTTAAAATGTCCAATTTCTTCCCATCGATTAACTCAACTGAAGTTATTTTCTTTGAAAACATTTGTTATATTTAGCCAAGTTTTATGAATTACCATCCAAATTCTACTTTTATGTAGGTCAGTTAACGTTTGTTGTAGGATAAAGGGATTAATTATTGCAACATTTTTGTATTGTACTTAATTTTGCTCATTTTGAGAAGATTATTTTAATCTTTTTTGCTGTTAAACCTAAAAATTATATTTAAAAAGTATCACCATTAAATCTAAAGATGGTCTACATCTGCAGCAACCTCTTAGCTTGTGGGTCAAAAATATACCATTCTTTAATTGTAGTCGAGGGCCACACAAAATCACTCCAAGGGCCACATATGGCCCCCGGGCCACACTTTGGACGCCCCTGCCTTAAAGTTATAGATTATGTTATAACCAATTGGTCTTTATTAGTTATTTGTTCACCTTTCAGTTTAGATATTTTAGCCTGTTTTTAAGATAAGTTTTTTTTGCACATATTTCCATTTTTGTAATTTTACTGTCCTTTTCCTTCTGTGCCATTATATTAAATTGCAATCTTCAAACTTGCTGTGTTTGCCGTGCTCTTTTCTGTCGCCTCTATGGCCAGTCATTTCTCATTCTAGCATCTGGCATTTTGCAATAGGCTTTTCTTTTTTAAACTTGATATAGTTGTTTAGATGGCATATCGTGTCTGTAAATGGAACTATACCCTGCTGAGAGTCTTATTATTATGGTTAAAATTAAAAACTGAAGCAAAATAGAGGCGATCAATGTCTAGTCTTCTTAAAATATGTTTCTTATAAAACAGTATAATTAAGGCGATTATCAAACATCTCGATGTCTGTAGGTCTGAAACCACAGTCTCTTTTTTCTCTTTGTCTGCCTTTTTTCCCCCTGGCTGGCCTCCCTCGAGAAAAAGTGCCCCAGACAGGATATGAGCTCATAGCAGAATATGCACCCTGCATAAATTTCTGACGTCATTGCCGACTGTATCAGGGTTTTTTTGAACGACAGAGGGCGACGAGGGTTGTTCTCTGGGCCTCGCTCTGGAACAAAACTACAGAGGAGAAGGTTTCTTGATTTGTGTTTTGAAAAAAAAAAAAAAAATCCCATTCATGTGAAAATTTGCCCATGTGCTTTATTTACTTTGACTGAACTTCAAGTGCTGACACAGAGGCTGCTCTGCTGAGCTCTTTGCCTGATGGGTGTTTTCTTTCCCTGAGGTGATTGTAGCACCCAGACACTTTCCGTTGTTTCCTAGTTGCTTATGCTTCACTTAGCTGGAGATGAGTGGGAAGAATTTAAGACCTTCATTAAGCTTCATACAGCACCTGCATTAACTCCCTAGAAAACTCAGCATGGTTCTCAGCCAAATGTCAACTTAAGTGTATCCTCCCCTCAACGCCGGTGGTTCAGTCCTGGATGCCACTGCACTAAACCACAGGGTTGATGCCATGGGGAGTCTGGGAGGTCAACCAAAATTGAAGAGTAGATTAAGATGGAGATGAGAGAGAAAAATTAAGAGGGCAAAGGCGGGGTTCACAACAGGCCAGCGGTTTCCCGGGATGTGGGAGAGGATGTGTGGATTATTCCCAGCAACAAAAGCTATTAGTCCCTGGAAGGACTTCAGAGACTGGTGCTATTTAATCTAGAGATTGGGAGGTATGTGGGCCTCAGTTGTTGGGATCAAGCCAAGTGCCGTTTTTGTGCAGTGCCCAGTGAAAACAGCAGGAACGGAGGGGCTTTGGGAGGGGAGTTGTGGTGAGAAGGGATATAGCTGTTGTAGACGACACACAGAGGGGCTACAGAGGCAAAGCAAGGGGAGGAATCACAGCAGCATGAAGTTTTTATTCTGAGATACGTGAGGGAGGGCAGGAAACTGAAGATTAAGAAGTCAAGTAAGGGCATGTGTGCATTCAAGGGTTGTGCCACAAATGCTGTGCACCCATGAGTTCTTTTTCCACAGGCACACAAAGAAAACAACATTTATACAAGTTCACAGGATTGTAACAAGCTTTTTTCCCCCTTAAAACAAATCACGCAAAAACATCAAAGCACTGATGTGTTACATCTCCCCACACTACTGGTAAAACTTTAAGACACGTCGCAGCCAGTAAGGGAGGGAAAGTAAAACAAACTGTAGTTAATCATTGATAGAAGAGTACTAACAAGGAATAACATGGTGTCTGACTTGTTTTCAGAGAGCACAACTCTAGGAAATCCCTAAAAGTTAAATCTATCACCATACTGTACAAAAACATATTGTTGGGAATGTTTGAAGGACATGGTTATGATGTAAACTGAAACCCCCTAAAAACAATGAATTAGCTCATAGTTGTCATAGTCAGATCACCCACTGTTTTCTGTACTTTGGC